GTACATCTATCATCCCATTTCCTCCAAAACCATAATATAAGACTCATAGTCCAGGGCTGTGTTGGGCAAAAAGGAAGGCTCTATCTCAAAAATAATGAAAGGGGTGGGGGGAGGAAAGAAGGGAGAGTGGGAGGGAGATAAGTCTATTTTTGTAACCTTCTGCATGGACATATCAGGAAGGAAGACAGAACTTGCGTTTGCAAATTTTGCAATGTCTACAGATGCTACTACCCCTGAAATCTTTCTCAAGTGATTGTTTTTTAGCCCTACCCAAATTCATCTGCCTCAGGTCTAAGCCATTAAAACAACAACAACAACAAAAACTTAATACATAGCTCTAACACGTAAGCTACAGCTTCCCTTCAGGATCTTTGGTAGTTACTTGGATGTAGGAGTCTCACAGACTTCCTTGCCCAGGCTAGCTCTGAATCTTGATCCTTGTATCTCAGCCACCTGGGTAGCTAGGAGTATAGGTATGAGCTACCAGTGCCTGGCAGAAAAATAAAAATAGAAAGGAAAAAAAAAGAAAAGATTTTTGACTATTTTTTTTACTGTGAAAATACTGTACAGAAGGGTTACAATTACATGGGCAAGGTGAGTTTTGACTATTAAAACCTATTTTGAAGCCAGATGCCAGTGGCTCTCACTTATAACCCTATTTACTCAGAGGCTGAGATCGTGGAGGATCATCGTTTGAGGCCAGGCAAAGTAATAAAGCTCACCACATTCTATCTTCAAAATAATGAACAGATGGCAAGGCTGGAGGCATGGATCAAGTGATAGAGCAACAGCCTAACAAATACAAGGCCCTGAGTTAAAGTACCACCAAAAATGAAAGGAAAAAAAATATATATATAATGTCTATATATTAACATATACTACAAATATATCTAAATAAAATGGCAAAGGCAATATAAACAAATTCAACAGATGACTATCAAAAAATACTTGAGCTATGGGGCTGGAAAGGTGGCTCAGTGGTAGAGTGCTTGCCTTGCATGCATGAGGCCCTGGGTTCGATTCCTCAGTACCACATACACAAAAAAGAAAAAAGCCGGAAGTGGCGCTGTGGCTCAAGTGGTAGAGCACTAGCCTTGAGCTGAAGAGCTGAGGGACAGCGCCCAGGCCCAGAGTTCAGGCCCCACGACTGGCCTCTCCCCCCCCCCCCCCCCCCCAAATACTTGACATATAGATGGCTGGCAAGGAAAATTTTGTATCTTTATTATAAAGGTGAACTGGGGGTTACAGTTACATAGGGTAATGAGTGTATTTCTTTTTAAACACTGTTATTCCCTCCTTACTCCCCCCACTCAAGGTTAATTTTTATAATATGCAAGTGTGAGGCCCTAAGGTTTCCACTATTACTGCTAAGGGGGGAGGGAATTGAGAGGATATAAAATTAAAGGTAAATTGTTGGGTGCCAGTGGCTCATACCTGTAATTCTAGCTACCGATGAAGCTGAGATCTGAGGATCTTGGTTCAAAACTAGCCTGAGCAGATAATTCCAAGAGACTCTTTTCTCCTGTTAACCAATAAAACATCAGAAGTGGATGTGGCTCAAGTGGTAGAGCACCAGACTTACACAAAAGCTGAGCCAGAGTGTAGGCCCTGAGTTCAAGCCTCAGTACTAGCATGAAAGAATAAAAACAAGAGCTGGGAATATGGCTTAGTGATGGAGTGCTTGCCTAGCATGCATGAAGCGCTAGGTTTGGTTCCTCAGTACCACATAACCAGAAAAAGTCAGAAGTGTGTTGTGGCTCAAGTGGCAGAGTACTAGCCTTGAGCAAAAGAAGCTCAGTGCCCAGGCCCTAGGACTGGCAAAGAAAGAAAGAAAGAAAAATAAAGAATAAAAACCAAGGTAAAGAGTAAGGTGGGGAAGAGAGCCTGACAATAGCTGGCTCAGCAACATCTAGGCTACACTCAAAGTAAGCTATCAATGTCCAGAGGAAGAAACAGGGGTTTATTACCAGCAAAAGGGCTAACTTCATAGTATTTCGACCAGGCTTTAAAGACTACATGGGGGCAGGGATGTAGACAAAACCTATTTCTTCCTTTTGGACATACATAGTTCAATCCACCCAGATTGTCTCTAAAATATTTACAGATAACTATCTTGTCTCTGAATTTTCTCTTTTCAAGGCAAGTATTTCTCAGTTTCACTGACTGGGTCCCATGAACCCAGAGAGGTCTTTCCTTCTCTTCCATATACTAAGGCCAAGGTCAACCTCCTATTTGCATTAAAGAAAAAAAGAAAAACAAGAACAGCCAGTTGGCAGTAGCTCAAGCCTGTAATCCTAGCTATTCAGGAGGCTGAGATCTGAGGATCTAAACTCAGAAGCCAGCTAAGGCAGGAAAATCCATGAGACTCTTCTCTCCAATAAATCGGTAAAAAAAAAGAGTAGAGCTGTGACTCAACTGTGGAAGGCTACCCTTGATGGAAAAAGTTAAGGGTCAGAATCCAAGCCCTGAATTCAAACCCTAGTATTGGCACCAAACAAACAAAAAAGTACATAAAAGATTACTTTTGGGGGCTGGGAAGGTGGCTCTGTGGTAGAGTGCTTGCCTTGCATGCATGAGGCCCTGGGCTTGATTCCTCAGCACCACATAAGGAGAAAAAGCCAAAGCGGTATTGTGGCTCAAGTGGTAGGGTGCTAGCCTTGAGCTGAAGAGCTGAGGGACAGTGCCCAGGCTGAATTCAGGCCCCACAACCAGAAAAGAAAAACAAAAAAAAAACACTTTTGGGCTTCAATAACTATTGCTTTGGGGCTTCAGATGTTGTTCAGTTATGGAGCAATTGTTTGCCTAGCCTTGGGTTCTATTATCAGCACTGCAAAATAAATAAATAATAAATTTAAAATAGTGTGCATTTGTTGTTTCAGCTACCGGTGAGGCTGAGGCACAGGCACTGAGTTTGAGGAGAGCCCAAGGCTGAGAGAACTGTCCTCAAAACCAAACAAAAACAAAAAAACCCGAACTCCCCCCCACAATGTCACTCATAATGAACCGCTACATAGTCTTCTACATGCAACCCAAAATAGCTGATCCCTTTATCCTTGCTGAAAAACATCTTGTGTAGTTTTGGTTTACAGTTGGCAGACTCCTCCAATCAAGCTATAGTAGGGCTCCCTTCCCTGGGCTCCTTTGTCAGTTGTGGGGCCTGAACTCTGGGCCTGGGCCCTGTTCCTCAGCTCTTTAGCTCAAGGCTAGCGCTCTACCATTTGAGCCACGGCGCCACTTCCAGCTTTTTCTGCTTTTGTGGTGCTGAGAATCAAACCCAGGGCCTCATGCATGCAAGGCAAGCACTCTACCACTGAGCCACCTTCCCAGCTCCCCACTTCCCCCTTTTTTTAATGCTCCCACACTGGGCATACTCAGGGTCTAGGCAAAGTCAGCTTAAATTTTTTGCTCAAGACTACCACTTGAGCCACTGCTCCACTTCTGGCTTTTTGCTGGTTAGTCTCTTGAACTTTCCTGCCCAGACTGGCCTCAAACTGTAATCCTCAGGTTTCAGCCTCTTGAGTGGCTAGAAGTACAGGCATAAGCCATCTGGTCTGTCTTTAACAGCAGTTCTGTAGGTCAATTTTGCCAGAATCACCACTCCTATGTTTCCTTAGTATATTCCTATACACTGGACACTCCCCCAATCCTAACTCTCCTCCAGTATATATCCAGGGTTGTGCTTTTGGATCTGGAGCTGAGCTCTAGGATTCTCTTTTAAGGTGAACTCATATACAGGAAGTATCCACAGGAGGTATTCCAAGACCAGTCCTCTAGAATTCCTATTACCTGTATTATCATTTTCTTCTACTCTAAGTAGATTGTACACATATCATAGGTAGCCTGGCCTCCCTAGAATTATCTTTCATCTGTGGCACCCACAGTGCCTACAACGCCGTAGGGATCTAAATCAAATCTTCATCATCTTTGCCTCTTCTTCAGATGTTGCCCAAGCATTAGTCAAAACAATATCCTAGAAGCAATATTCTGGTCAATTCGGAAAAAAAAAATTCTTCCTTCTCCCCAAATCCTCGAAACCACAAGTCTACCAATTCAACCTAAGACTGTCACAAAACCATAGAAGTCATTCTTAACCTTACCGGTTTGCTAAAACCCAACCTTCTTTCAAGAGATCTCTTATTAAGACACCCTGTCCCCCCACCCCGCGCCCCCGTGTTTATTTGTACAACTCTTTCTACTGATCCCTGTTAAATTGTTTTCTGGTTTTCGGCCCACGGCCAGCAGCAGCCTGTTGATAGAGTTGTTTTTGAAGCACACTTCTATGGTTTGACAGAAGTCTCTTTGATTTTCATTTGGGTGGTAACAGGAAAAGGAGACCGAATATCTTCAGCCACAGGGTGAAAGGGGCCTCCCGGAGGCTGGCCCTGGCTCTGGGTCTCCATGGAGAAGCCACAGGTGCTAATAGAAGCTGGGTGCATACGTAGTGTGTGTGTGTGTGTGTGTGTGTATACAGTGTGTGTGTAACCTCCTCTCCATAGCTCTCGGAGATTTCTCCCTTCCACATTGTGCCTCAGGAGCTCTCCCAGATTCTGGACGCCCCCCCTCCCCGAGGCAGCAGCCCCTCAACATCGGGCCGGGGATCCCCGTGAAGCCCGCGCCAGCAAGGCAGAGCCTCCTCCGTGCTCTAGGCCCCCCCCCCCGCCCCCTTGCTGGCCTGGACCCCCCGGGGGCTCCCCCTCCCCCGACCCCAGCCCTGTGGGCTGTGTCCGTGCGCGCAGCCCGGGTCGCGGGAGGGGCGGCCCCGGAGGATCCTCGGGGACTCTGCGCAGGGGCCCGGCCGTGAAGAGCAGGCGGGCTCCGGGCGGCGCTGGCGGGGCGTGGGCTGGGCGCGGGAGGAAGGTCTGCGCCGCCCCGGGAGTCCCCAGATCCGCTGGGGACGCCGTGCGTCCGCGCCCCGGGGCGGAAAGGTGGCCCCAGCGCAGGATCGCGGCGGCGGGCGCGCCAGACCCAGGATTCGGGGTCGGGGGTGGGCCGGCCCGTACCTGGTCTTGAAGTCGCGGTTGTAAATGGTCCGCAGCCGCTCGCGATCAGTCTCCAGGTCCAGTCCCCGGGCGGCCAGGAAACTCTCGAAGTGCTGGCCGGTCTCCCGGAGCTGTCGGTAGCTGAACTTGCTGGGCATCGCGGCGGCGGCGGCGGCGCGGCCCAAGCGGGAGGGTCGGTGAAATGAAACTGAAAGTCGCCGCTGCGCTGTAAGTTAGGGCCCGGGGTGAGGGGCAGAAGCCGAGAAGCCCCCACCTCCGACCCCCCGGATCCTGGACGCCTTCGGGCTCCACCGGCCTCCCCTCCGCTCTCCCCTACCTGAGCCTTCCCTTCCGTCTGTTCGCCCAGTCCCCTCCCCCTCTTTGCATTAACTCTTTCCTGAGGCGCTGACCCCTCCCTCAGGGCCCTCCCCTTACCCCCAGCTTCCTCCCCTGGCTGCTGGCCAGGGGAAGAACGTGGCTATCGCTTGGGGCCCCCCAAACAGCCCGGCGTAGGTCTGAGACTCCCCGGGGTGACCCCCGCGCCCACCCTCCGGAGCCTTGGGACTTATTGAAAAGCTGGAGAGCAAAGGGCAGGGACTGGAACCTGGGTCGGCCGCAGCCGGACTGGGGCCGCTCGCCCAGCACCTCCCCCAGACCGCCAGGCACTGAAACCAGCACCGAAGCGGCGGCACGCCCCCCTCCTCCATTTCCAGACTCTGGGCTTCAGACGTAGGGAGGAAGGCAAGCACCGAAGTTTGGGGGAAGGATTGGGGTGGGGGGAGAAATGAGATAAAGGTGTGTACGTGTGGGAGTGAGGGACAGGGAGTTCTGCCCGGAAGAACAGTGAAGATTTTTCTTCTGCTACACAGTCTTCATTATGTTGAAAGACTGGGGATCCTTAACCTTGAGCCACATATTTGGGCACTTAATTACACTCTAGTCTGTATTGCTCTTTTATTGTTCTTAGTATGAAAGTAAGGGCTGCCCCAGTCATCAAAACATAATTAGCTCCCTGAGAGCAGGGTACTATTATGTTAGGCAATGAATAGTTAACAGTTAACAGCAATGTGCTTAAGCTGTTTAGACAAACCAAAGGGGGTGAGGCTACTACACAAACAAATATAACAAGCCTTTCGCATCTAGTTATCCTACAGAGAGAAATTAATAATAATAATAAACCTACTAGGATGGGTTAAGGATACTAAGTTACATAAAAAAATGAAGCATACCAAAGCTAGTGCTGTTGTCCAAGATCCCCCAGGGAGGCCACACAATCTAAGGTATTGTGAGAAAAGTCCAGGACCCAGGCCATGCTCCCCATTGTACAAACCCCCTACCTTCTTCCAGGCCAACAACTAAGGAAAGGCAGGAATAACTGGCTTTAACAACAGGAAATGCAATCTTAGTGAGAATCAGAGCTACAGGGATGGGAAAACAGGAGCAGGAAAAATATGTTCATGCCCTAGAAATTGATTATGCAAAGTAGTGGGAAAAAAATAGGAAAGCAGCCGAAGATTTTACCTTTTCTCTCCTCCAATTTCTTGATGAGGCCCTAGAGTAAAGAGGGTGAACTAAAAATCCCCACTGCTTAGCTAGGCAGCAGTGCTAGTACAGTAATCCCATCACTCAGGAGGCTGAGGCAGATATATGGTGACTTACAGGCCAGCCTGGGCCACAGTGCAAAAAAAAAACAACCAGAATCAAAACTGCTGTTGCTTACAATCTCAAAAATCTACCATCTACACACAACCCAAATTGACTTAATTCTGAACCCAAATTTAGGTCCACATTATACCTGGACATATAACTTTTGCTTTTTTTGGTTGACCCTAACTTGTACGTGTTCCCCAAACACAATAATCACTTGGGTAAAAATTTTCTGCTTGTGTGACTGTGATTGCCATATGTCTCTAATGTGTCTGGGGGAAAAAATCTCTTTTATATGAAATTGTTAATTTTGTGAGCAGTTCTAGATGTCTAGAATGACCTTCCTACCTTTCATATACAGTTCAGGTTTCAGTACCTTACATCTATCTGCACTTAAAAAGAATCCAATCTCCAAGTTAATAAAATTGCTTTTAGTGTGAGTCTGAACAGTACTAAAAACAGTCTGAAACTTAATTTTAGCCAACAGCATTACTGGACTAAGTCTGTATAGTGTTCCAAGATAGGTTGCATTTTCTTAATTCTCTACTTGTTGAGTTCAAAAAATGTTTTTGAGTGCTCTCTAATCTTAAAGCACCTAATCTAATCTTAAAGCACCTAGAAACAACCCTGAAATTGGTCACAGTTTATTCTCATTATTTGAAGATCTTAAGTTTGCAAATTCAGTTCATATTTCTTTGTAACCCCAAAGTCCATACTTATAGTATTTAATGGTTTCCCAGTGTACTCATTCCCAGATGAGACAGAACAGTGTGATGCTCAGTCTTCTTTGGAACTCTGAGCTACATCACCATCCAGACCCTTTGCTTTGTTTCACCCTCATAAAACCTGTTCCTTTCAATGTTTTGTTTCCATGATTTAATGTTGTTCTCCCCCTCCCCCGCCCCGTGCTTTTTGGTGATTTTGCTACTTAAAATGATGCCCAAAGGTAGTGCCAAAGTGTAGTCTAGTATTCTAAAGCAAAAGAAACCTTTATAGAGAAAAACTCTTTTAAATGAACTTGTCACAAGTTTCAGTATTTCCTTATTCAAGATCAGCAGTAGCTGGGTGCCGGTGGCTCACGCCAGTAATCCTAGCTACTCAGGTGGCTGAGATCTGAGGATTGAGGTTCAAAGCCAGCCCAGGCAGGAAAAGTCCGTGAGTCTCTTATCTCCAATAAACCAATAGAAAACTGGAAGTGGTACTATAACTCAAGTGGTAGAGCACTAGCCTTGAGCTGAAGAGGAGGGACAATGTCCAGGCCCAGAGTTCAAGCCCCAAGATGGACAAAAAAAAGAAAAAAAAATTAGCAGTGACTGCAAAATCCAACCACCCTAATAATGAGAACTGTATGTCCTTGCAAATAACAAGAGGTGCTGGACTGATTACTACCCTCAGAGGACATTCTATTATGTATATTTATATATACCTTCTTTGTTCAAAGAAACACTTTCGTTATCTCAGCTTAGGCTAAATGACATTCAGTTTTGGCCTAAACTTATCAATCTCCCTTGATTTTCTTTTTTCACTGGAAGGTAGTAGAACAGCTAGACGGCAGTCATGAGTATCTGGTTTACTTGCAAGTTCTTTATACAAGCCTATAAATTAGGCCCAATTACAGTGGAGTGCACACTTGGGAAGGTTTTCAAGTTTTTGCTAGTTTGGGCTATACAGTGAGATTTCCACCTCATACAAAGAGACCCAAGAAGCCTGTAGATGAAGTGGCACTCAGATATATACATCTTTTTTGTTTGTTTGTTTGGAAAGAATGTGCTGAAGTTTTCTAAGTATCCCATGAACCTACATAAGTCTGGCATCCAAGTTTTGGATTATGAAACAGAATAGGCATTAGAACTAGGTGACCAACAGCAGGACAACCACTGAAGGTCAGATGAAACAGCATTCATAGCTTTCATTTCAAACTCAAACTCCTCAGTGAGGTCTCACAAAAAACTCCTTTCCCCAGGGCACTACAGGCCAATTTCAGCAGTGAATGATAAAATAGACAATCAAGTAACTATTCTACTAAGGGAGAAGTCTCAGGGCTTCCAAAAGTGGCCTTCACCCACTTCCACAACCCAGGGTTTTAGATAGCCTAGAGGTGTTTTGGGACTTTTTGTTTCTTGCTTTTGGTTGTTGTTTTCTTTTTTTTTCTTAGTTTTTCTGGAATAAGAAAATCAATGGGAGAGCTTGGGGGCAGATTGATAAAAGCTAACAAATTCACGGAAAGATTGTTTGAATTTGTTTAGGAATGGAATGTAGTTAAATAGCTCTCCAAGAGGACAGGATTTAGACCAGGTCTACAGTATTCCCAGGACTGCAGATGCTGAGGCAAGAGTTCAAGGCCTACCTGAAAAACCAAAACAACAACAACAAAAAAAAAAAAAAAAAAGGGAGGGAATTTAAACTGACCTTGGATGGAGGGTGAAGCACAGAAACTCCCTCTGGTTCTCTGCTGGGAACCAGGATACAAAGCCTTTCCCACAGGTCATCAGTAGCTAAACCAAACTTGAAGGAAAGGAAAGCAGCATTTAGAGTTAAGCCAATGTGAAATATTACCTGAGCAAGGATTCCCTCATTTCTAGTTCCTGCCTAGTGATTGCAATCATACTTAGGCCTTGTTTTCTGAATAATGGGTACAGAAGGTAAGATTTTCCTAATTACCTTTGGAAATCTCAAAACCTTTGAATCATTGGCAGCTTTTGGAGAGAGAGTGGTATGATCCATAGATTTTGTTCATATTAAAAGATGCTTAGTACTAGTGGTTCACACCTGTAATCCTACTCAGCAGACTTTAGACCTAAGGATGGTAGTTCCTAGCCAACCTGGGCATGAAAGTCCCAGATATTCTTATATTCTTATCTACAAGCAACAACAACAACAAAAACAACACCTAGAGCTGTGGCTCAAAGTGATACAGCACTAGCCTTGAGCAAAAGAAGCTCAGGAACAGTGCCAGTCCTTAGTTCAAGACAGACAGACAGACACACACACACACACACACCCCTGTTGTTTGCAAATCTTTGGTATACTTACCACATTTACATTTGTTCAAAGTCAGAACCAACTCCTAAACATTCTTAATAGGATGAATTACAGCTGAGTATTACTGAAGACAAAAGCTGAAGAAGAGATGGATTAGAAAGGAGAGAGACACACACAATTTTAGAACAAAACAAGTATATTTCTATTGGACTACCTGATACAGAAGATAGCATGGTATAGATGGATAGTATGAATGACAAATAATACAAATATATTTTATTTGAAATAAACAAAAATGCTTACATAGCTTTCACTGAGAAACAAACTGTTGCTTGACTGTATTACAGAGCAAAAACAAAGCTGAAGCACAAACACCCTTCTGTTTTGACAATTATTTGGAGACAGGTAGGAAGACACTACTTGGTTTTTAAAAAACTGACCTTCCTTTAAGGCCTGGTCATAGAAGTGTAAACAATGTAAATGAATCCACCATTACCAGTTGTCATTATCATATCTATGTTACCTGCATATTCTGAGATCATAAACATACCTGCCAATATACCTGGGAAGGGTTGCTTATATCACAGTTACATGAGTTCTTGGCAGGCTGGATCAAGGAAGAGTAATTTGGAACAAGTTTTACACCTATTTAGAAGAAAACACTAGTATTCCCTTAAATAACAGGTAATAATAGAAAGATACTGCCTGGAAGTTATCCTTTTCACTTTGGTTCATTTTTAGTTTTTGTGATTTACATAGTTGTCTGTTTCATTTGCTTATATTACAATCCTGCCACAAAATCTTAAAGCACAAGATACCTATTATTCATTCCTTCAACATCTATGTTTTTCAAGTTTCATACTCTACTACATCCACAATATGTCAGCAGTTCTTGGAGAAGAAACAAAAATATAAATGGGCAGAACTTGCCTAAAAATGTAGATGTTTCTAACTACAATGCTGCTTAATGAGAAGACAATGCGAGAATGAAAAAAAAGCAAATGTTCATGTGTAAGGAATGTGGTTCAACTCTTTGGATTTAAAAACAAGATCCCCAGAGAAGCCAAGTATCATGGAATTTCTAGAAAATTTCCTCTGCGCACCCCCGCAACCTATAGATCTGAAAAGTCTAAACTTCTGCAAACTACATTTGTGAGATGTTATAGGTGATGATCTAAGCAGAGGGAGAAGGATGAATGTGTCTTCCATTTAGCTAATTTTGTAGCATAGCCTCTTTAGCTGTTGGTGGATCAGTAAAAACTACTGCAGGTACCAGAAGTGCTTTGAAGAATAGGGGTTAAAAACAACAACAACAAAACCCCTACTGACCATATTTTCTGTTTAAATCAGTAACAGGAATTCATGGCTAGGAAAATTTTCTAAACTGTAAAATGACTCCAGGATAGATCTCTCCATTAAATGTAGCAAGGAGGGGGAAAAAAAAAAAGATTTACACTAGTAGATATAGTGATAACAGAGAACTACAAGGTAGAGAACACAAAAAAAAAAAAAATACTAAGACAATGCTATAGGTTCAACAGTATTCCATGAGGCTAGAAAATCAGTTAACTTTGAAAGCCCTAGCAAAATATCACTCTTGTTTATAAATCACTTATTTATCATATGACCACGTTGACTCCTTTTCCTTCCACACACTGAAGAATCCTATAGTCAGCTTTTAAGCATTCTGCATTTCTTTGCCAATCTTGTAGCTGAGTATCTTGTTCCAGTCGATTTTGGTGCGGGTAACTGGGAGTTGCCGGCGCAAGGCCTTGAATGTGGTATCTGACATTGTTTGATAGTTTTCACTAATTGCTGTCTGCAACAAATAATTAAAGATGAGTTGCATGAACAGAAATAGAGTTGGTGGTGAATATGAAAACCTATATATATAAAACCTACAGAGAAAGGACATGCTACAAAGGACATTTCTATTTAGTTTCTATTGAACTCCTTTCAAAAGTGAAGAAAACCAAGAAAGTTAACTGTATTGCTAAAACGTGCATAAATCTAAATCCTCAACTGTAAGCAGATTGTCAAATTACAATGTGTATAGTTTCCACACTTTAGTATTTTTAGTATTTAGTATTTTAGTATTTAGCATTTTTAGTAAAGGACAGGTCTAATGGTATATGTTAAGAGCAAAATAGTCAAGTATTGGAGCCAGAGAAATTAGGGCCACATCTTCTTACCTGATACTCATTTTCTGCACTCTCTATGATTTTAATAAAGTCCTTGGCAGTTTGAATTTCATTCTAATAAGGGAAGAGAAAGAAAGAAACAATTTTTAAAATGTTAAAACAAAAAAAAAGCTGAAAAGTCCATCCATACTGACCTTTATTTTTATTTTTTTATTTTTTTTTTTATTTTTTGGGGTCCGGTCGTGGGGTCTGAACTCTGGGCCTGGGCTCTGTCCCTCAGCTCTTCAGCTCAAGGCTAGCGCTCTACCACTTGAGCTACAGCGCCACTTCTGGCTTTTTTCTTTTTGCTTATGTGGTGCTGAGGAATCGAACCCAGGGCCTCAGGCATGCAAGGCAAGAGCTCTACCACTGAGCCACCTTCCCAGCCCCCATACTGACATTTATGTAACCTCTAGTTTACCAAGTGTTCACAAGTATATTAGCTCTTTTGATCCTTATAACATAGAATCATCTTCACTTTGCAGATGAAAACAGAATCCTCCTACATGACCAGATCAAATTTAATAACCTTTCTATGATAAAGATGGAATCCAAATAAAGGTTTTCTCTAAAAAAAATCAATACTCTTTCCATTCTACCACTGGATACCTAGAAGTCATTATCATCACTAAGTGTTGAAATGCTGATGACTTGAAAATATTCCTAGCTTAAGATGTTATAAAACAAGCCAATTTTTTTGTGTGTTGGGCCAGTCCTAGGGCTTCAACTCAGATCCTGGATGCTGTTCTTTAGACTCTTTATCACCAATTAATCACAGAAAAAGCCAGGAATTGCGCTATGGCTCAAGTGGTAGAACACTAGCCTTGAGCAAAAAACGAGCTCATGGACAGTGACCAATCCCAGAGTTCAAGCCTCAGGACCAGAAAAAGCAAAACAAAACAAAACAAAAAAACTATCGGGTGCTTTTCTGCCAGGTATGCTTCAAACAATGATCCTCAGATCTTAGCCTCCTCTGTAGCTTGTATTGCAAACCAACAACACCTAGGAACTTAAGAGTCTCATGAGCTTTCCTGCCTGAGCTAGCTTTGAACTACAATCCTCAGATCTCAACCTCCTGAGTAAGATTACAGGTGTGAGCCAACGGCACCCAGCAAACTTTTTTAATTGAAAAAATTTATTTGCCTATAAAAATTGTACAATGTGGGAGGATTTCATTGTTGGCCTCAAACTCACCATCTTTGTCAGCCTATGTGCTGGGATTACAGAAGTATGTGTGTAGTGCCACATACACCACTTTTAATATTTAATAATGTGAGCATTACTAAATATAATATACATAAACAAAAGTTATTTGGTAGTACTCAACACTTTCTACAAATACAAGGAAAGAAGTTTTTAAAAAGAATTAAATAGCAAGAATTAGAAAACAAATTATGGCCCTTCTGTCAAGGTAAAGAACACAACACTGACTGAATACTACTAAAAGTGTTGTTTCTCTAATGATGTGAATATAGCCTTACAGAATTTAGTTTGACCTTCCATTCTCCTGTTATTTACTGACTATAGGTATTGCTGTTCTTGAGTAAATTTTACAATCAAGAAAAAGACACAGCAGGAAAGGTAACAACATTTTTCTTAAAGTCATAATCACTCTTAAGACAAAGTGTAAACTAGTATAATCAGTTGGTAGTAAGAGGCACTCAAAAAGCAACACTCAGGTAAAACACTCTTTATTCTCCCCCACAGGTACTGGGGGTTTGAACTCAGGGAATTATGCTTGCTAGATAGGCACTCTACCACTGAGCCACTACCCCAGCTCCCAAACTAATTTCTTCAAGAAAAACAAGACACAAGTATAACATAAAATACTGCATACTCACAGAAACAGTTACTGAATCTTGTACATCTTTATGACTAACCAACTGAACATTGCCATCTTCATAATAGTGAACCTGTATTGAGACAATATTTGAGCAAGTTTATGTATAGTTCATATAAAAACCTATCATTGAGGGCACAAATTCCTGCTTTAAGTTTTTCTTAATTGGTAAATCTTTTCTTTTTTGAAACAAATTCTCACATGCATCCTACACTGGCTTCCAAATTTATTTATTTTTCCATTGGTGTTGGTATTGGGCTTGAACTCAGGGCCTGGATACTGTCCCTTAGCTTTTGACTTTGTGTTTTTTTAACTGTATTTTTTGTCTTTTCTTTTTTGGTACTGGGATTGAACCCAGGACGTTGTACTTGCTAGGCAAGTGCTTTGCCACTGAGCTACATTCCAGTCCTAGCTTTTGACTTTGAACCATGATTCTCAGATACCAGTCTCCTGAGTAGCTAGGATTAAAGGCATGAACCACCAATGCCCAGCCAGGCCTTAGCCTTCTGAGGGCTTGAAATCAGACTTGTGCCACTATACTTGGTTAAAGTACATATATACTTTTTCTTCTCTCTGTCTCTATTTTTCAGTATGAAGGAATCAAACCTAGAACCTTATACATTGTTAGGCAAGCGTTCTACCACTTAGTTACATCCCCAGCCCTGGTAGCCCATTCTTACCAACTCTGAACAAATAACATAATCATATGAAAATTCACAGTACTAATTAGAATTCACAGAATACTTTAAGAATTATCTTTCCTTAGCAGGAAAAAAATGATTGTTTATTAAGTCTAGTAATTGCTTATTAGGTGCTAATTACATCAAGGCACTGTGGTAGACATTGTAAATAGAAAAATAAGATTTTACTCCTAGCTGTCTTAAAATAATTAAATGATGGGGTTTTTTGTTGTTCTTTTAGCATCATTGGGGGTCTGAACTCATGGTCAGGTTCTCTGGTACTTGAGCCACATCCCTAATCCCTTTTGCATTAGTTATTTTTTCAGATAAGTGTCTCACTCATGCTTCTGTCTCAGCCAGGTAAGGACTGAGATCCTTCTACCCGAGAAGCTAGAATTGCAGATGAGGGCAACCCTTGAATATGAGTTTTTTCTCTGTGAAAAGCAAGGGTATTTTTTTCTGTTTGTTTTTAGTGGTTCTGAATTTGAATAGTACATTGACCTCAGACCTCCATTTCCCCAATCTTTACTTCCTACATAAAGCTAGGATTAAAGTTTGAGCCATTGTACCTAGCCAAAGAATTTTAATGGATCTCAATATGTGTTTCTCTCCATATGCACTAATATTAACATTGATAAATAGATTTGCTCAAATACAAGACAAACTTAACTGAGAGTTAAAGGCAGGACTAAAAAGATTTTATTGGTGAATTTAGACTGTAAATAAAGCATTTTGGGGGCTAAGGATGTAGCTCAATGGTAAAGTATTTGTCTAGCACATTTGAGACCTTAGGTTCAATCCCCAGAACCACAAAGCAAAAAAAAAAAAAAAAAAAAAAAGTTTTGAAGACAAGGTAAAGTGAAGTGTTATAATTAAAAAAAAACCAAAAAGCAAAAAACAAACTAGCCAGGCACCGGTGGCTCACACCTATAATCCTAGCTACTTAGGAGGCTGAGATCTGAGCATCTTGGTTCAAAGCCAGCCCAGGCAGAAAAGTCCTTGAGACTCTTATCTCTAATAAGCCACTAGAAAACCGGAAGTGGTGCTGTGGCTCAAGCAGTAGAGTGCTCACCTTGAGCTGAAGAGTGCATGGACGGTACCTAAGTCTAGAGTTCAAGCCCCACGACCGACCAAAAAAAAAAAAAAAACTAGCAAGAAGGAAGAGTATACAAGATACAAAACTGTAACATTCAGGAAGTTCTGGCAACTTAAAAGATAGGTTCAATTATCTTAGTATGACTACAAACTGGCTAAACAGAATAGAATGACTGTTCATTTGAACAGTCTTGAATATAGTAATACCACCTAAGTGGATAAGGTCTCTACCTGAGCAAAGTATCTAGCCTTGGGATGAGGAATATGAGAATGAAGTATAATTGGTTTAGTTGAAAGAACAAAGACCTCACTGCTAATGAATGTGGAAAGAAAGATGTCTGGAGACACTTAGGAAATAAAGAACTATAAAGAACAAAGCTCTTTATAAATCAAATTAGAATTCAGTTTATCCTCTTACAGATGATAACAGTTAATTCAGATAATGCCATTTCCTTCATACACTACAGTCTCACTGTTATGTCCTTGCAAAATTCTTACATTGAACCTCATATCCACAGTGACAGTATCAACAGGTAGGACGTCATAGGGCTCCACCCTTACAAAAAAAGCCTGAATGAGTTCCCTTTCTGTGTTTGGGCCTTATCAGGCAATGTTCGCCCTCTGCACTGTGAGGATCAGGCAAGAAAGCAACATCTTCAGTCATACTAAGTTGCTGAATGAGTTGGCACTTTGAACTTGGATGTTAGCCTCTAAAATGAGAGCAATACAATTCTGTTGCTTATGAATTACTTAGTCAGGTATTTTGTTGAGCAGATTCAGCTATCTTGGTCCACTTATCAGGTGAACGGTCAGCAATGAGATAATGAGCTTTTACTTACACACACACACACACACACACACACACACACACACACACACACACACACACACACACACACACACACACACACACACACACACACACACACACACACACACACACACACACACACACACACACACTGTCCAGTGCAGAGAACCAAACTCATGCTTCACTCATATTAGGAAAGCTCTCTTCCACTGAGCTACATCATCAGCTCAATTTTTGGAAATTGATTTCTAATTAATTTTTTTTGCTTAAGCAAAAAAACTGAAGACAGGTGCAGTAACCTGTACTATTACAGCTATTATTTATTAAGCCCTACAATGTGTTAGAAACTATGCATAATATTTTACCCATTTATTTTGCTTAGTCTTTACAAAATGCTATAAGCTAGGGACTACTATTAACTCTATGTTACAGCTGAAGCTTGAGCTATTTTAGTAACTTCATGTTCACATATGTAGAAAGACAAGTTAGAAGCCGGGCCGGGCACTGGTGGCTCACTCCTGTAATCCTAATCAGGAGGCTGAGATCTGAGAATCCTGGTTCAAAGCCAGCCTGGGAAGTCTGAGACTTTTTATTTATTTTTTTTTTCCCGGTCCTGGGGCCTGAACTCTGGGCCTGGGTGCTGTCCCTCAGCTCTTCAGCTCAAGGCTAGCGCTCTACCACTTGAGCCACAGCACCACTTCCAGCTGTTTTCTTTTTGCTTATGTGGTGCTAAGGAATCGAACCCAGGGCCTCATGCATTCAAGTCAAGTGCTCTACCACTGAGCCACCTTCCCAGCCCCAGTCTAAGACTCTTATCTCCAATTAGCCACCAAAAAAGTAGAAGGGAGCTGTGTCTCTTAAGTGGCAGAGTGCTAGCTACCCTTGAGCAAAAGAGCTCAGGGATAGCACCCAGGCTCTGAGTTCAAGTCCATCACCAATGAAGAAGAAAGAAGAAGGGGGGGGGAGGAGGAGGAGGAAGAGGAGGAAGAGGAGGGGGAGGAGGAGGGGGAGGGGGAGGGGGAGGAGGGGGGAGGGGGAGGGGGAGGGAGGGGAAGGGAGGATTTGAATTAGGTCAAAAGAACTAAAACCTCATCAAATATGCATTAGGAAGGAGTGACATTAATCAAGACAAACCGTACTCATAAACTAACATGGTAAATTAAAACTCCTTTATACAACTCCTTAAAGATAATTTATTTTATTTTTATTTATTTCCAGGGCTGAGGACCGAACCCAGGGCCTTGCGCGCGTCAGGCGGGCGCCCTTCCTCTGGGCTAAACCCCCAGCCCCAAGATAATTTTTTTTTAATGTTAAAAAGATCCAAGTTTTGGTGGCTCATGCCTATAGTCCTTGCTACTCAGGACACCTAGATCTGAGATCAAGGTTCAAATTTAGCCCAAGGAAAGAAATTCCATGAGACTCTTATCTCCAATTAACTACCAAAAAAGCAGGCAGTGGAGCTGTAGCTCAAGTGGTAGAGTGCTAGCCTTCCACAAAAATGATCAGGGACAGTCCTCATGCCCTGAGTTGAAGCCCTAGGAGCAATGCATGCTTGCATGCGTGCACACGCACGCACACGCACGCACAGAGAATTCTATCATGGGGAAAAAGAACATACATTATACTTTTCAATGAGATGACTGGGGATGCTACTTTGATCCAAGTAGAAAGAAAAGTAAAATTTTTAAAAATGATATTCAGAAAAGTATAAACTAAACAATCAAGTTTTAGGTAGAAACCATGATCCTATTTGAAAAAAAAATAATTTCCACAAGCAATATATTTCAATATATACTCTTACAGGACAAAATTAGGTATCTTCTTCAACAGGGGCAAATGTTTAAAACCAAAAAGACAAAACTATTGTTTGAGCTGGGTGTGGTGGTACATGCCTATAATCTCAGCACTTGAAAAGCTGAGGAAGACAGATCACAAATTCAAGTTCAGAGTGAAACTAGAAGTCCAAGACCAAAATGTATCATGGATAGGGTATAAGTACAAATAATATGGGGTCTATTTAAGAATCAGAGGCCAGGTCAGTGGTAGTCTTGTCTCTATTTCTTTCCTTTTCCCTTCTCTCTTCTGTTTTCTTTTCTTTCCTTTTATTTTTATTTTTTTGTCAGTCATCTCGGCCTGGGCGCTGTCCCTCAGCTCTTCAGCTCAATGCTAGCACTCTACCACTTGAACCACGTGCCACTTGTGGTTTTCTGGTGGTTTATTGAAGATCAGAGTCTCATTTTCTCCTCAGGCTGGCTTTCAATCCTGATCTTCAGATCTTAGCCTCCTTAGCTAGGATTACAGGTGTGAGCCACTAGTGCCTGGCCTTCTTTTCTTTCTTTTTTGCACTAACAAGGGATTGTATTCAGGGTCTTATGCACGCTAGGCAAGCACTGTACTAGTCTTTATTTCTAATATCAAAGTAAAGATAACTTGCATCTTTATTTTATTTTTTGTCGGTCATGGGGCTTGAACTCTGGGCTTGGGTGCTGTCCCTGTGCTCTTCAGCTCAAGGCAAGCGCTCTACCGCTTGAGTCCCAGCACCACTTCCAGTTTTCTGGTGGTTTATTGGAGATAAGAGTTTCTCAGACTTTCCTGCCCAGGCTGGCTTTGAACCATGATCCTCAGATCTCAGCCTCCTGAGTAGCTAGGATTACAGGTGTGAGCCACAGGCGTCCGGCAACAGCTTTATTTTAAAATGTGAAGGTTTTTTAGTTGGGGCTTGAACTTAGGGCCTGGGCATTGTCCTGAGCCTCTTTGTGCTTAAGGCTCTCTACCACTTGAGCCACAGCACTACTTTCACTTTTTCTGAGTAGTCTATTGGAGATTTGGAGATAAAAAGTCTCACAGATTTCCTGCCCAGTCTGGCTCTGTAATGAACCAGGATCCTCATATCTCAGCTTCCAGAGCAGGCGTGAGACATGGGAGCCTTGCTTAAAATGTGAAGTTTTAACCATTATCCATTTATCCATTCCATCCTGGAATCTTACCTGAATCTTCAGCACTCCAACCACCTGGGCTGTAGGTGGTGTGATTGTGAACTTCCACTCTGATCTCCAACGACCATTCCTATTAAAACACACACATATACAATGCTGCAGAATCAGTAATAGGCACAAAAAGGTAAACTGTCAGAAGCAGATAGGTTAGAAAAAGGAAGAAAACGACAAATTCACTTCCAATTTCATAAACCTAAGACTTGGTCTATTCAAGTATAAGTTTGGATCCAAATGGGTTAGTTAAACATAACCTTTACTAAGCTATCTGTATTATCACTTATCCTTCATTCCTTTTGAAGGAGAACTGTGCCTTTTCTAAATAGGATTGATAGCCTGCTTTGGTTGCAGAGTTATATCACTAAACATTATTAACCCTATACCAGAGTAAAACAGACTTTTAGGTAGACAACTTAGTAATGACTTGTCAGTCAATATAATGGGATTTTAAAGATATAATAAAATCTTGGAAAGAATCTAAACAATGGTTCAATCTCACATTTTATAGAGAACTAAAGTCTCCAGGTCAATTAATCTATCTCAACAGTTAAGATTAAAAACCAGACTTTGTTTGCAAAATAAATTAGAAACAAAAGGAAAAGAACATTCATTTCTTACCAGAAGTTTTTAGGCTGAAACTGGTGGCTTTCAATACATGCAATTATAGTCTGTTGCCCATCTATAGTTTTAGCATAAACCTATTGTTTGGGAAAAACATATTTAATTTAAACAACAACTTATAAAAGCAGTGTACTAAATACTGAGGGGACAAAGAATATGACATAATAGTATTCTTGGAACATGAACACAAAGCTGAATATTGTGAGTTCTAGCTGAATACTGTGGTTCAATGAATGCAGAAGGAAATACTATTTCTGGCATGGAGTAAGGAGGTGCCACTTAGCCTGGACTTTATGAAAACATCCTGATCTGAGGCTGAGGATAAAGAACAACAAATTCAGGCAAGAAACAAAGAAATTGTTAAGGGAATGGAAATTAGTCTGTTAGGTGGGAGGACACAAAACAGGAGCATGATTATATAGTAGAAGAACTTAAAGTTGACTTTATGGACAGGTGCTGGTGGCTCACGCCTGTAATCCTAGCTACTAGGAAGGCTGAGATCTGAGGATCATGGTTTGAAGACAGACCAGGCAGAAAAGTCCCCATGGGACTCTTCTTAAATTAACCACTCAAAAACTGGAAGTAGTGCTGTGTCTCAAGTGGTTGAGTGTTAGCCTTGAGGTCAGGGACAATGCCCAGGCACTGAGTTCAAGGACCCTCTTCCCCCCAAAAAAGTTGAGTTTATTTTACCAAAACCAAACAGAAATTTAAAAGACCAGAATTGTTATTTTTGAGAACAGTCACTATTGATGTGCACACGATAAAATGGAAAAAAAGTTGAAGGTTGATTAGGGGTGACATTAATCTAGACAATAATCTGTGTTGGTATCAATGGTAATGGGGGAAAAAAAAGAAACAGTTTCAGACAAGATACGGAAATACCATGAGAAGTCTAGAGCTGGAAATGTAGTTCAGTAGTAGAAGCACTTGCCTAGAATGTGCTGAGGTCATAGATTTAATCCCGAGCAAAATAAAACAAATCAAAAGTTGAGCAATATGCTGCAATTGAAGAGCAAAGGGAAGAAGTCAAAATATTTGCACACTTGAATGTCTTGGAAAGACATTAATCTATCCCAACAGGTATCATTTACTAATTGAGAAATGCTTATCGAAATGTCTAGTTAGAAACACCAACTCTTACAGTGGGAGATGTGAATGAAAACAGTCACCCAGGGAAAGCACAGAAAAGAAGTAGTGCTTTATAGTTCACACACACCAAAATATATTTTTTTGGTAGTGGAGCTTGAACTCTGGCCTGGGTGCTGTCTCTGAGCTCTTCAGCTCAAGTCTAGCACTCTACCACTTGAGCCACAGTACCATTTCCAGTTTTCTGGTGGTTTCTTCTGGTTTCTGGTTCGCCTGGCACAAAATGTTTTTTTGTTTTTACAAATCTGGTTTAAAAACATGTCAGGTGCTGGTGGCTCACATCTCTAATCTTAGCTATTCAGGAGGCTGAGAAATGAGGATAGCAGTTCAAAGCCAGCCTGGGCAGGAAAGTCCATGAGACTCTTATCTCCAATTAACCACCAAAAAAACAGAAGTGGTGCTGTGGCTCAAGCAGGAGAGCACTCACCTTGAGCTGAAGAGCTCAGGGACAGCGCCTAGGCCAGAGTTCAAGCCCCAAGACCGACAAAACAAAAACCAAAAAACAAAACAACAATATGTTCCCATCTACTGATGACAGAGCTAAGGTTCAGAATTCTTGCTCAAGGTTGGTTATTCAAGAGAATATATGGTTGAAAGTGAAACACAAACCTGTTGTTTTCTGATAGAAATCTATGTTACTTTTGATTAAATGGACTAGTCCTTCTGAGACAGAGATATATAGCCTTGGGGTATGCCTAAGTTTAGAAAGATAGGGGAGATGAAAAGAAATAACTACAGAGAGTAAGAAGACTTGGAAGTGTTAATAAGCAGTCTTAGCAAAAGATATTTTTTTGGGGGAGGGTGGGAGGGAAGGGACGGTAGGGGAAAAACAGAGGAGGAGGTAACCATGCTCAATAGGAAATGCAAGCCAGGCGCCGGTGGCTCATGCCTGTAATCCTAGCTACTCAGGAGGCTGAGATCTGAGGATCGAGGTTCAAAGCCAGCCTGGGCAGCAAAGTCCGTGAAACTCTTATCTCTAATAAACCACCAGAAAACCGGAAGTGGTGCTGTAGCTCAAGTGGTAGAGCACTAGCCTTGAGCTGAAGAGTTGAGGGACAGCGCTCAGGCCCAGAGTTCAAGCCCACGATCGACAAAATAAAAAAGGAAATGTACTCATTACTTTGCTCATGTAACTGTAACCCCTCTGTACAGTATTCTTACAATAAAAAACATATAACAACAACAAAAAAGATCTTTTTTAAAAGTAGCTAGTTGGATTCTGTAAAATTCAGTAACAAAGCCAGGTATGGTGGTACAGGCCTATAATCCCAGCATGGCAGACAGAGTTTGAGATCAATTTGGATTACTTAGCAAGACCAAACAAAACAAATAAAAAACTAGGAACTGTAATCTGGAGAAACTGACATAGGAGGATCACCATTTGAGGCTTCCTTATTTAAAAAGTTCACTAGACATTTTTAACTAATTGCTAGACTTGATTGTACATGCCTATCATCCAGTGAAAAGTATAAAATAGACAGATTGGAATCTAGGAGAGTAGCTTGAAAGGAATTGAGATTTTATCTCAAAAATAATCAGTACAGTTGGTAGCTTACAATATCCTAGCTACTCAGTAGGCTGAGATCTGGAAGACCGTGATTTGAGGCTGGCCTAGGCAGTAAAGTCCGTAAGACTCTGTCTCCAAAATAAGCAGCAAAAAGCCAGGCTGAAAAAGTGGCTCAACTGGAGAGCACTAGCCCAGGAAGAAAGCCAAGCTAGCTTGAGGCCCTGAGTTCAAACCCCAATATTACTCCTCTGGAAAAAAAAAAAAAAAAAAAATCAAAGAACAATGCAAAGCTGGGTGCCGCTGAAACACTTGTAATCCCAGCTACTGAGATCTCAGGATCTAAATTCAAAGTCCTCGGGGGAAGACAAATCTGAAGAAGTCTAACCTCCAATGAACCAGAAAAAAAACTTCAAGTGAAGGTATAGATTGAGTGGCATAAGTGAAAAAGCCAAACAGAGCAAGCGGCCCTAAGTTAAAGCCTCAATACTGACACACATGCATGCACGTATGCATGCACATCCACACTCTCCCACCCCCATCTCCCACCCCCACTGAAAATAAAAGCAGGTATGGCTCAGTGGTAGAGTGCAAGGCCCTGTAAACAAACAGCCATAAACATGGGCCGTAGCTCTCCTAAAAATTTCAATTTATGATTTCACACACACACACATCTAAGCTAAAGACCTTTTCTTTCTTTTCAGAGATAGGGATTTGTTATGCTGCCTAGAATGGTCTGAAACCTTGGGGTTAAGTGATCCTCCCACTTTAGCCTATCAAGCAGCTTTAACTACAGGCCTGTGTCATCATGTCCAGGTCACAAGGCCTTTAAAAACTTTTTGATAGGTATAAGTTGATTTTGCATAAAAAAGAAATGTAAAATAGAATACTCTGAGATCTAAAATTATTTTGCATTGTGATTTTAAAAAGAAATTTTCCATGTAATTGTATGCTCTTTCCAAAATGATTTAGGGAACAAAACAAAAAGAACATAACTAAGAAGGAAGAAGTAAAGATTAGTAAGCTAAAGCTTCAAAGGGAATAGGGAAATGTATGAAATAAGACATTTTCTGATATGAAAGCAGGCAGATACTTAACAGTACAGAAGCCGTTGGAATAATGATCTTTCACGTAGGCTCTTAAAGCACTGTCACAGGATTCTCTCCAAGACTTCAAACCTCCATCTACTTCCTCTGGCTGGGGGTCACTTGCTTCTTTCCGTAAGTGATCAAACTTAAAGGAAATTTTGTTCCTTGGATCTAAAAATCTGCTATTACCCAGGTCACCGTGCTCTGTTATTAGGACCTTCCAAAGAAGAATTACATATATGAATAACTCTATTAAAAAAAAGACAGCTCATCACATTTTGAAAAACAAAAAGTAAATAAAGATTATGAGGAGGAAAGTTAACTTCATTTAGCCAGATTACTTTCATATTGACTTTTCAATTAAGTCTCATTTTAACTCATAAAATTATTATATTTGTGGATAATCCAATTTATAACTGCAAATTATCCCACCTAATGATAATTGTCACTTCTTGATTTCTATCTAATGTAATGCTTAATGTCTAATGTAATACAAATGCTTCATACCTAGCTAGCGCAGGCACCAGATCCTGAACTCAGGGCCTGGGCATGTCCTTGAGATACTTTGCTCAAGGCTAGTAGTAACTTACCACTTAAGCCACAGCTCCACATTTTTTTTTTTTAATGTTTTATTGGAGAAAGAGCCTCAGAGACTTTCATGCCCAACCTGGCTTTGAATTGCAATCCTCAGACCTCAATCTCCTGAGTAATTAGGATTACAGGCATGAGCCACCAGCACTTTTATGTACTCTTGTATTCTTTCCTCACACATTTTATGAAACATTTCTAGAGCCACTGTACTAGCATGCAAAACAGGTAATACATTCATATAGTTCAAAAGTGAAACAAAAAAATATTAAGTGAGATATTTTTCTCAACCCATATCCCAATCAACAAATTCCCAAGTTAACTTAAGAGTAGCCTAAATTTCAATAAAAATGCTTTGTTTTCCATTAACTATGAATTCTCCTTTTATTCTTAGCAAGGAGAATTAGAAACAACTTGAAAACCTGTAAAGACTCAACTCATTTCTTCTTTTACTCTTCTTGTTAGGTCTCTAAGAAAAACTACTAGTATCAGAAACAGGCAGAATTCCCTAATATAGAAACTGTACATAGGGCTGGGAAGTTGGCTCAGTGGTAGAGTGCTTGTCTCGCATACATGAGGCCCCGGGTTCAATTCCTCAGCAGCACATAAGCAGAAAAAGCCTGAAGTGGGGCTGTGGCTCAAGTGGTAGAGTGCTAGCTGTGAGCTGAGGGACAGTGTTCAGGCCCAGAATTCAGGCCCCACAACCACCACCACCAACAACCAAAACAAAACAAAAAAAAAAAAAAAGAAAGAAAAAGAAAAAGAAACTGTACCTAAACTATAAAAACTAGGACATGAATTTATTCAGCACCTAATTCACCCATCTGCTTTGGTTTCTTTGCTACTACTTGGCAGAACAAGTCTATCTAACAGGCAGTTATTACCTGATCTTCATATCCTTCTATCTTCACAGGTGTGAACTGATCCATGTTATACTGGGCAAATGCACTGTTTAGAAAAAATTTAAATAATAATTTTACCAGCTGCTGAAGTAAAATCTGTAGAAATTTTTCTCTGACATTTTACATCCAATCCACCTAAAATCTGACTTGACTAGATTCTGTAAGCCTGTATTTTAGATGTCATCACTTGAAATTGCCATCATGAATAATGTTCTAATTATAATTTACCTAAGTAAAACTTCCACCTAACTTCACTGCTTCCACTCTAGTCCAATCACTACCGACTAATTACTCTAAGAATCTTGGAAGTACCATCTTGCTTTAGCCTCTGTCTCCTGATATACTGATTAAAATAATCATAGTCAGTGCCTATTATAAAATTTAAGTTTCATCATGTCATTCTATTTAGCACTCCTTTTAAAATTTATTTTTTTATTATCTGTATGTAATTGTACATATGAGTTGCCATTTAACCAAGCAGTTTAAGAATACAATGCATCTGGATCAGTATCACACCTTTCAACATTCTTGCCCAACCCTCCCAACCCACAGCACTCTCAAATAATGTCCTATCTTAGAATGACCCAGGTGCCAGTGGTTCAGACCTGTAATCCTACCAACTCAAGAGGCTGAGAACTGAGGATTACAGTTCAAAGTCAGCCAATATAGACAAGTCCCCAAAATGCTATCTCCAATTTACTAGCAAAAATTCAGGGCTGGTGGCATGGCTTGAGTGGTGGAGTACCAGAGGAGTTCAAACCCTGGAAGAAAAGAGAGAAAGAGAGAGAGAGAGACAGAGACAGAGACAAAGGAAGGAAGGAAGGAAGGAAGGAGGGTGGGAGGGAGGGAAAGGAAAGGAAGAAGGGGGAGGGAGAGAGGGAGGGAAGGAGGAAAGAGGGAAATCCTCCTTTAACAAGAAGGTTCTCCATAAACCCAGAGTTTATAAGAATCAGAACATTTACATATAAACCTTTAATGTTAGTTCAACTAAAGCAACTGAAGCATTTAAACTATATACCAACTTCTAGTCAATCATATTTAGAAATGGGATAATAAGTTTGGAGTTGTGATCACTCTTAAATGACAGTCTACCTTCATGTACTCAAGAAATACCTTGTCACATGAAATAGAGATTTATTTTGGGTAGCTATCAAGGATAAAATTATGGCTAACATGGCAGGCAAATTTTTCAAAGAATTCATTACTAAAAGTAATCAGTTTGCATAAACACCTATTACCATGATATAGAAGAGGTTCAGTCAAAGAGTAGAACTGAATTAGCAAATGATAAATATTCTTTTCTATGGCAGATTCTATTTGAGTGCATCTTTAATGTGTGGTTACTTTCCTAAACAAATTATAACCAGGGCATCATTCATGATGACAATGATAATTTATAAATTACAGTGACAATTTATAAATACTAGGTTTTCAGAATCTAGTTTCAAGAATGAGCTTCAAGCTGGTTACCGGTAGCTCAAAGCCTGTAATCCTAGCTACTCAGGAGGCTGAGATCTGAACATCGCAGTTCAAAGTGAGCCGGGGTAGGAAAGTCCGTGAGACTCATCTCTAATAAACCACCAGAAAACTGGAAGTGGCACTGTGGCTCAAGTGGTAGAGTGCTAGCCTTGAGATGAAGAGCTGAGGGACAGAGCCCAGGCCCAGAGTTCAAGCCCCACAACTGACAAAAAAAAAAAAAAAGAATGAGCTTCATGGCTGGGGATATAGTTTAATTACAGTATTTGCCTAACATATGAAAGGCTCTGTGTTTACCCTAGCAGTGCAAGGAAACAAGAACCACCACCACCACAACAAAAAACCCATTACAACCACCACCACCACCACCAAAAGGGAAAACACACACACACACACACACACACACACTCTCTCTCTCTCTCTTTCTCTCTCTCTTGTCCAAAATGTGCTCCAAAAGGCTGGAGCTCAAAATGTGCTCCAACGAGGCTCAGCAGAAGAGCACCTGCATAGCAAGCAGTTCAAACACAGGACCATCAAAAACAAAAAAAAAAAAGGGCTCCAGAAAAGTATCTAAATAGAGAAAAAGATTAGTATTTCCTGGGCAACAGCTCTTACAACAGTTTTCTATAGGCAAAATCTAAATCAATTATATATCTTACCAAAATGATTTTACGATTATTATATTGTGCTTTACATTAAAACATCTTTCATGGGCTGGGAAGGTAGCTCAGTGGTAGAGTGCTTGCCTTGCATGCAAGAGGCCCTGGGTTCAATTCCTCAGCACCACATAAGTAGAAAAAGCCGGAAGTGGTGCTTTGGCTCAAGTGGTAGTGTGCTAGCCTTGAGCTGAAGAGCTGAGGGACAGCGCCCAGGCCCATAGTTCAGGCCCCACGACCGACCAAAAAAAAAAAAAAAAATCTTTCATGATGCCCATCCCACCTCTTCCTGGTCATCTTCTAATTCTGTTTCACTCTCCACAAAAACTTTGGGCCATTTTTTTTTTTTTTTTTTGGTCGGTCATGGGGCTTGAACTCTCTTGTCTGGGCTCTGTCCCTCAGCTCTTCAGCTCAAGGCTAGCATTCTACCACTTGAGCCACAGCACCACTTCCAGTTTTCTGAGTGGTTTATTGGAGATAACAGTTTCATGGACTTTCCTGCCTGGGCTGGCTTTGAACCTTGATTCTCAGATTTCAGCTGCCTGAGTAGCTAGAATTACAGGTGTGAGCCACCAGCACCCAGCTTACTTTGGGCCATTTGAGTAGACAGTAACTGAATGGGTAGAAGGGTACTGATTAAAAAAAAAAAAAGAGGATAGCAGGCCTTGAATGCTAAATAGATTTGTTTATAGATGACAAACAAAAAATCTGCCACTATACTGTTTTTGAGAACAAAGTATTTTAGACAAATGGTATTTTGCCAGGTGCTGGTGGCTCCTGCCTGTAATCCTTGCTATTAAGGAAGCTGAGATCTGAGAATCACGATTCAAAGCCACCCGGGGCAAGAAACTTTGTGATACTCTTATCTCCAATTAACCACCAGAAAACCAGAAGTAGTGCTGTGGCTCAAGTGGTATAGTGCTTGCCTTGAGTTGAAGAGCTGAGGAACAGTGCCAGACCCAGAGTTCAAGCCCCATGACCAACAACAACAACAACAAAAAAGGTATTTTGAAAGGTTAGCCTAACAGTGATAGGGAGACGTCCAATTATGCTTATCTTGTAGTTAATTCTATTCAAACACTTTCTGGACATATGCTAACATTTTTATAATTCAGGAAACATTACCAATCCTCAGCAGCAGGATAATATTTCTATAAACAGCAGATAAAACATAAATTCAGCTGGGCTCACAACAGTAATCCTAGCTACTCAGGAGGCTGAGATGTGAGGATGGCAGATCCAAGCCAGGGAGGAAGTCTGTGAGACTTTTATCTCTAATTAACTATTTTTTTTTTAAAGCCAGAAGTAGAGCTATGGCTCAAGGACAGAACCCTGGCCCTCAGTTCAAGCCCCAGTATTGGCACCAAAAATTTTAAATAAACAAATCAATGTGAGGTAGAGAAGCTATAAAAGAAAATCTAATAGTTAACACTAATTTCTTCTTTAATAAGGAAAATCGGGGCAAAAACAAAAATTAATAAGATCAAATAAGGTTCAAAGATGTAAACATTTGGGGCAAATGTATTAACTCTACTTCCCTCCCTGCCAACAGACTCAACATGTAAGAAGGCCCAATTCCCAGGTGGTTGTGTTATTATGGGGGATTATGCAAACTTTATGATGTATGGCCTGGCTAGAGAAAGTAAGTCACTGGGGGCATGTCTGTGGGGCTCTATCATATCTTCCTTCTGAGTTTTTCTGCTTGTCAGCCATGAGGAACATGTTCCTAACCACCTGATGTTCTGTTTTACCATCAGCCAGAATCAATGGAACCAAGGACTACATGGGCTGGAATCTTTAAGTTGTTCTCTCAGATATTTTGAAGACAGCAACAGAAAGTTAAGTAACACAGTTTTTTCAGGGTACCAGTTTCTGCCACTATAGTTTAGCCAATGTTACAATAACACTGTATATGAATTTATTAAAGATACTTACTGTGCTGCCCCTTCCCTGAGGAGATTGTCATTATTAAGTAGTAGCCGAACATCTGAGGAAGAAAATGTGGGAATGTTGAGTTTGACTGATTTTTAGATTACAGGAATAGAGTTTAAAATTTAAGATTTGAGCCAGGCACTGATGGCTCACACCTGTAATCCTAACTACTAAGAGGCTGAGATCTGAGGATCACAGTTCAAAGCCAGCCCAGGCTGACAAGTGCCATGAGACCCCCCCCCCACCAGCCCCCCGACCCCTTTCCTGTCCTGGGGCATGAACTCAAGGCCTGGGCACTGCCCTAAACTCCTTTTGCTCAAGGCCTGCACTTTACTACTTCTACCTTTTTCCATGATTAATTGGAGATAGGAGTCTCACAAACTTTACTGCCTGGGCTGGCTTCCAACTGTGATCCTCAGAGTTCAGCCTACTGAATAGCCAGGATTATAGGCATGAGCCACTAGTTCCCAGCCCATGAGACCCTTAGCTCTACTTAACCATCAGAAAATTGGAAGTGGAGCTATGGCTCAACGTGGTAGAATGCTAACCTTGAGTACAAAAGCTCAGGGACAGAGCCAGGCTCTGAGTTCAAGCTACAGAAAGTGTATGTGCAGATATTCTAAGAATGTCAAATCACAAATGCTAATATGTATAGATTTGTACATAATTAGTTTTAATAATTCAATAATAAACGTTTAAAGAACTTCATTGCAAGAGAAAAACAGTTTGTAGAATGCTCCAGTGGTGCATATCTACAATTCTAGCATTTAGGAGGCTGAGACAGGATATCTAAAGTTCAAGACCAGACTAAACTGCATAATAAGATTTTATCTCTAAATAAATAAATAAAGACAGCAAATGCAATTGAAGGTCATAAATGTACTAGAATTATGGTTCCCAAATTAGCTATGATTTAGAATTAACTGATAAAGAACTTGATATAAAACACAGATTACCAAATTCCACCCAAGATATAACAAATGAAAAATCTCAGAGGATAATAAAACTGAATCTGTAAATTTAATGTTTCCCAGATATAGTCAGTCCCATTGGTCCTAGGATGGAATGTGTGTGTGTTTTGAACTCAGGACCTAGGCACTATCCCTTGACATTTTAAAAAGCTCAAGGCTAGTGCTCTACTACTTGAGCCATAGCTCCAGTTCTGGCCTTTTTTAGGGAGAAAGGTAGGTAATTGGAGACAAGAGTCTCATAGACTTTCCTGCTTAGGCTGGCTTCAAACTGCAATCCTCAGATCTCAGCTTCTTGCTTAGCTAGGATTTCAGTTGTAAGCTAATATGGAACTTACTGAGTGAAAGTTCTGAAGAATTGAAGTTGTGACAATATTAAAGTCATAAAAGTTATTTAAAATTGTTTATTCATGTTTTTATATTAAACTCTAATTTTTCCCCTCAACTAAGCAAGTATCCTAATTTATGGGTAAAAGTTTGCATTTGAGGGGCTGGGAAGGTGGTAGAGCGCTTGCCTTGCATGCATGAGGCCCTGGGTTCGATTCCTCAGCACCACATAAGCAAAAAGAAAAAAGCCGGAAGTGGCGCTGTGGCTCACGTGGTAGAGTGCTAGCCTTGAGCTGAAGAGCTGAGGGACAGCGCCCAGGCCCAGAGTTCAGGCCCCACAACCGGACCCCAAAAAAAAAAAAGTTTGCATTTGACTCAGACTAAGAAATAAGTCCTTAATTTAAGGATTAGCAAGGCAACCTTGGATAAGTTATTTTTTTCAATCTCTGTATCTCTGTTTGTTTGAGCTTTTATACCAGTAGCAGGACTTGGAACTCGGGGCCTTATACTCTTGCTGGACTTTTTCCCTCTAGCTTTTTGCTATTTGGTTGGAGACCGAGTCTTGAAGATTGGATCCTTAGATCTCAGCCTCCTGAGTCGCTAGGATTACAAGTATGAGCCACTAGAATTTCGCTCAATCTCTTTAAATGTTGATTTCTTTAGCTATGGTTATAATACAAACATAGTGGTACATACTTATAAACCTAGCATAGACAGAAAGATTTCAGATTTGAGGTTACTGTTATATACTGAGACTATCTCAAAACAACCAAGTTGAAAGATAAAACACGAAACACCCAAAGGAAAAGCGAGAGAGAGGGGAGAGGAAGGAAGAGAGAAAGCGCTCAAATACCCAAGGATTTTAATAACAAAATACTAATCTTTACTCACCATTGAATACTTCATTAAACTCTCCTGGGGGTGCATGGGTGATGAATTTAGCAGCTATGCGTACCTAAAGAAAAATAAAATATATACTAAGTGTACTGTGAAGAGTAATACACAGCTGGGCACAGTGCATATGACTGCTCTGTGCTCAGTACTAGAGTGGTAGAGGCAGAGAAGTCTTTTTGAGTTTGAGGCCAACTTGAGCCACACGCACAGCAAGATCCTGTCTCAAATCAAAATAACTCAACAATAGCAGCAATAAAACAGGTAAATGTAAAGAAAGGACAACAAAAGTTTTCTAATATATCTTAAAAATTCTTAACCTTTACAGTAATTTTTTTGTTGTTGTTTTTGGGTTGGTTGTGGGGCTGAACTCTGGGCCTGGGCGCTGTCCCTCAGCTCTTCAGCTCAAGGCTAGCATTCTACCACTTGAGCCACAGCACCACTTCTGGCTTTTTTTTGCTTATGTGGTGCTGAGGAATTGAACCCAGGGCCTCATGCGTGCAAGGCAAGTACTCTACCACTGAGCCACCTTCTCAGCCCCTATAATAAAATTTTTTTTAAAAGAAAATTCTTGCTTAGATTTCTACAATTCAGAAATCTTTAGGTTGGGGGACGGGGGGAGAGATAGGAAGGGAAGGGAAACAAAGGAGGAGGCAACAGTGCTTGATAAGAAATGCACTTATTACCTTGTCCATGTAATTGTAACCCCTCTGGTAAAGGTATTTTCACAATTAAAAAAAAACCTTTAGATTGGCCTATGAAACATCCCAAAGCTGTTCCCATCAATACAGGTGTATTTTGATTTAGAATATGTGTACCATTTTAATGATTTTGAACTTTTCTTTAAAAAGCTGAATAATCAATTTGGGGTCATACAGTAATATACTCAAAAGGAGAAAGCTATAATCTTATCTCTCATATGAACATTTAAACAAAGCCAAAATCAATGTGACTTAAAAATTAAAGGAGCAAAACCACATGAGCTTCACAATTCTTGCTGGGGGGAAAGATGACAAAAGTTAACACTTATCCCAATAAAATAAAACTAAACTACTAGTTTTGGGTAGCAACAGAATAAACTTCCTTGCCTTCAATTTAGGGGACCAAATTTTAGTAGCAACTTTCAGAATGAAGAAAAATAAGCATTGTCACTAATTTTAAGAGCGGTAACCTTCAGAAGAAAATAAGTACGCAGGCCCCACATCCAGCAAAAAAAAAAAAAAAGAAAGAAAAGAAGTACTATCACTGATTTTAAAGAAGGGATAAAGCCTTTCAACATTATACTAGACAAAAGTCTAAAAATATTCTCTGTAAAAAACTCATTCGGTCCTCTTCCCACCTTCTACAGCAATTATCCCTCTGTGGAGCAACTATAATGAATATTTTGTCTTTTTTTTTGTCATTTTATACATTGGGAAGAATTCTTACCTAAATTTTTTCAGTTCTGTATTATGTCCTTTGTCCATTTTACTGTCCAGGTAATTTTTGTCCTATTTTTACTTTTTAGAATTTTTGTAATTTCATCTTAATGTACAAAATAATCTTACGAGGATATGAACTGTACTTGTCTTTAGTAGACTTGCTGCTGCTGATTAAAATAGATGAACAGTTTATCTTTTGAGTAAACTTAAGGGGCCATTGGTTACAGAGGATATTGTTGCATAGCCCCCCCCTCTTTTTTTTTTTTGCCAGTCCAGATTACTTATATATAAGGAGAAGTTAATTTTTTAAAAGGGGGAGGAGAGGGATGGCATTGCTCAAGATGCACTATATTCATAAATTGTTTTGTTACATGGCAACTCCTTTGTCAACTACTTAAAAAAATAAATGGAATGCCAACGTCCTTATCTTTTAATTTTTTAAAAGACAGAAGGCAGTTGGGCACTGATGGCTCAAGCCTGTAATCCTAGCTACTCAGGAGGCTAAGACCTGTAGAACACAGTTCAAAGCCAGCTCAGGAAAGAAAAATCCCCATGAGCCTCCTAATTAACCACTCAAAAACCAGATGTAGCACTATGGTTCAAGTGGCTAGCCTTGAGAACAAAGAGGCTCAGAAACAGCACCCAAGCCCTGAGTTCAAGCCCTATAACGGACCAAAAAGAAAAGATAGAAGGGGACATGAACATGAATTAAGTGAAATCAAAACAGAACTACCAGGTCACAGAAGCTAAATTACTAAAAGAGGTGACATTTCAAAAATATTAACAGCAATAAGAAAGGCATTTTAAAGTTACTTCTTATTCAAGAGCTTGCCTTATTCATATCTACATAATGCGCACGCGCGTGCGTGCGTGCGTGTGTGTGTGTGTGTGTGTATACCAGTACTAAGACTAGAACTTAGGGCCCTGGACACTGTCCCTTCGCTTTTTTGCTCAAGACCGGTACTCTAACACTTGAGCTCGTCTGGCTTTTTGGTGGTTAACTGTAGATAACAGTCTCACAGACCTTCCCACTCAAGCTGGCTTTGAACTGTGATCCTGCAATCTCAGCCTCCTGGGTAACTCAGATTACAGAGGTGAGCCATTGGGGCCTGGGTTGTATATTTTATGCTTGACAATGTAAGACTGATTATTGGCTAAAAAGGAGATAATAGTGGGGAAAAAAAAACCAAAAAAACCCTAAAACTCAAATCTGTGTGTGTGCGTACACACACATACACACGCCTGTACTGTAGCTTCAACATGACAGGTAAGTAGTAGTGTCTCATGATAATTTCTTTTTTTTTTGCGAGTCCTGGGGCTTGAATTCAGGGCCTGGGGCATTGTCCGAGCTTCTTTTGCTCAAGGCTAGCACTCTACCACTTGAGCCATAGCACCACTTCCAGTTTTTCCTGTGTATGTGTTCTGAGGAATGGAACCCAGGGCCTCATGCATGCTAGGCAAGCACTCTACACTAAGCCACATTCCCAGACTCATGATATTTCAATTTGCATTTTTCCTATTACAAGTGGAACAGAACATCTTTTTTACATATATAAATGCCATTTATATTTTAATTTCCATGAGCTTCCCAAATTACATCTTTTATTTTTAAAATTGGTTTTAGGAACTGTTCATATTTTAAAGGTATACGTACACCACTGCTTTTTTTGGGGGGGGGTGGAGCTTGAACCAAGGACTTTATGTTCACTTGGCTTTTTCACTCATAGCTGGCATTCTACCACTTGAACCACTCGTTTACTTCTGGCTTTTTGCTGATTAGTTGGAGATAAGAGTGTCTAGATTTTGCCTCCCCAGGCTAGCTTCAAACCTCAATCCTCTGATATCAGGATTACAGGTAAGAGCCTCTAGCACCTAGCTTCAGTCTACTTCGTAAAGGATAAAAAGACAAACTTCAAATGTTAGTGAGAGAGAATTATCAGGTAGAAGTATTTGAGTTCAGATTCGGGTGCTAAAAAAGTAATCTCAATGCCCCTGAGATTATTTAATACCAAGAACAAGAAAAATATCCAATTATAGAAACCAAAAATCGCCAGGTTTTAAATAACTGGGGAGAGTTAAAAATAATGTTAAAAAATGTACATAACTACAGTATGGAATCCTAAAACATGCTCATAGTAAGGAATCTCGTTTTTTCCTGAGAGCTATTAAAATGGTGGATTACCTGGTATTAGATAAACATTTGGCAATTTCAAATGTTGATTTATGCATGTTTAAACAGAATACTATAAAAATTGCTTGAAGTAGGACTAGACATAATGGTGTAATATACTCACTATAAAACCTGAAGTCTGTTTCATGCCTACAAAGTCCTTCATAATTAGGCATGCTTCCTCAATTCTACTTCCTAACAGCTGTTAAATCTAAAGTCCAGGTTCAAGGCTACTGCAGTCTTTCTTCTTTTTTGCCAGCAATATTCTTCTGTGATGGTTTGCTCCCATACTGATTTGTTTCAATGTCACTAAAGTCTCCTCTCCAACTTTCATATACATTCTCTCCATCAAAATGCTAACTCCTTTATCTATTAGTTTTCTTGAAGAAACTTGCAACCATCAACATATATGCTTACTGTCCAGACCTCCAAAAGAATTCCAAAAGCTTGGAGCAGAGGTGAAAAAAAACTGTTAATGTAAAAGATAGCTTATACATACTTTAGGGCTTTGTTGGCCATGTTTTCTGTCCTAAATGTCAATAAATGAGCACAACTGTGTTCCAATAAAACCTTATTTTGCATTCTAAACTGTACATTTCATGTAATCTTCACATTATCAAAATTCTTTTATTCTGTTGTTTCTGATCATTCTAAAACATTAGCTCATAGGTTCTATTAAAATAGGTTGGCAGCCAGGTGCCAGTAACTCACACCTATAATCCTAACTACTCAGGAGGCTAAGAGCTGAGGATGGTGGTTCAAATTTAGCTTGGGCAGAAAACTCCATGAAACTCTTACCTCCAATTAAAAGCTGGAAATGAAATTGTGGCTCAAGTGGTAGGGAACTAACCTTGAGTAGAAAAAGCTAAGGTTCAGTGTCCAGATCCTAAGTTCAAGCCCCAGAACTAGAGGAGGGTCAAGAAAAGCAGGTTGGCAAATTAAATTTAGTTCAGAGGTCATAGCTTGCCAACCCCTGGCAGAGAGCGATTATGCCTTGTCCAAAGCCACATGCTTAGAATTTAGACATTCAACTATACCATGCATGTACCAAGAAGTAAAATTCCAGAGGATTATCCTGAATGTGTCACTTGGATTTGGCTTTATACTTTGAGAAATTTTTAAAACCGAAAATTAAGTCAAAGTTGTTCTTTTGAAAAAAGCAACTGTCACAAAGTTAGGAAACTAGGAAAAATGTGTAAATTTAAAAGTCAAGACTCAGCTTAAAAAGTGGGTCAATAGTATGATAGTTGGGCAGTCTGTGGCTCACAATACAATCTCAGCTATGGAGAGGTGGAAATCATGAAGACTGCGACCTGTAATCCTATCTATTCAGGAGGCTGAGATCTGAGGATCACAGTTCAAAGCCAGCCCAGGCAGGAAAATCCATGGACTCACCAATTAACCACCAGAAAACTGGCAATGGCTGAAAGTAATAATAGAGTGCTAGCCATGAGCAAAAAAGTTCAGGGACAG